CTCGTAATGTCTGTCTGTCTTGCTCTCGTTCTGTCTCTCGTACCACTCTCGGTTCCACTTTTACTTTTGCGCGCTACCTGTCTCACTCTTTTCCGGCCTCCAGCTTTTCCTGCTGGAGCCCGCCGCTTAAAGGTGGGGGGCGCAGACCGGCCATAGAGCCCATAGAGTTAAAGGTGGTGGACTGTAACCTGTAAAATCCATAGATTTAGGAGGTCCCCTAGTGGCCGTTAGCTGTACAAATCCATAGATTAGCCGCACCGTTATATAAACCGCAGGGTCAAAAAATGGGAAAAAAGGCGCGGCTTATAGTCCGAAAATTACGGTACTTGGATAGAGTTATCTTAAAGCTCTTTGACTCACTATCACAGCATTACACATTTCAGCTGATATTCCTGCACTGCTCAATTCAGACTCACCTAGAACACAACAAGGAAATACACACAGAGAGAGACACTGTATCTGTCCAAGGAAAGATACTCAAAATCACTCGTTTAAAATTCTGGCTATCTATTTTGTCAGCAGAACTACTTTCAACGAGTGGGAAGCAGAACTGGAATTCAATCTCTGGAAATCAATCAACTATAAGATCATCCTAAACACCATGACATATAAATATCCAACATAAGCCGCAATACAAATTGAAAATTATCAACGAGTCAAGTCGATCATGTTTACTACTTGAAAAAAGGCTGCCTGTAAAGGACGCACACTTGGAAGTGAATGACAGAAAGTTGGATTCGTGCAAATGTACCGTACATTCAAAATCCAAGAGAGCATTATCTTATTAAAGACTTGGCAGACAAACACTAGCAGGGAGAGTTATTCAAAACGGTTTGCCAGGAGAAAATAAGTTGTCTTGTCATTGCTTTTAAATTCTATTTTGTGAAAAGTTATCCTGAATTTGCAAATATCTTTTTCATATCGCTAAAAGGGTCGGGTCTTTTATTTTACTGATTTGTTTGGTTTGATGTTGTGCCCGTTTGTCATGATGTGTTCTCTTCTGTCTGTAACTATTATATTTCCAATGAGTTTAGATTTGTCCATGTCTGTGATGTTAATTAAATCTGGACAACAAAAACACAGACAAATTGCGGAGCTCTGAAAAGCATTTACATCATCATTTTCATTTAAGTCAATAAAGCACCAGAGAGATGTAATTATACATTCACTTTGCTTACTCGCTGCCTGACGGATAAGGATGTTCCCTGGGGCCTCATTTATAAACGGTGCGTACGCTCAAAAGATGGCGTACACCAGTTTCTACGCAATGTTTGCGATTTATAAAAAACAAACTTGACGTGACAATTTGCAGTCCTC